GTTCCACTGCCTTGCTGCTGCTTTGCCCCGTCTCGTGTCCTTGCTAGTTGCCCCTGAGGGAGACCCGGATGCACCAGACATCCCGACCCCACGCTCTTACGCTGAGGCGATGGCGGGTCCCTACTCCTCTCAGTGGCAGACAGCCATGGACGCAGAGATGGCCTCCTGGAAGTCCACAGGCACCTACGTAGACGAGGTTCCCCCTCCTGGGGCGAACATCGTCAGTGGCATGTGGATTTTCAGGGTGAAGCGGCCGCCGGGTTCTCCACCTGTCTTCAAGGCGCGCTACGTGGCTCGAGGCTTCAGTCAGCGAGAGGGAGTAGACTTCTTTCAGACCTTCTCCCCCACCCCGAAGATGACTACTCTTCGGGTGCTGCTGCACATAGCCGCTCACCGCGACTACGAGCTTCACTCTCTTGACTTCAGCACTGCTTTCTTGCAGGGCAGCCTGCACGAGGAGATCTGGCTGCGCCGCCCCCCTGGCTTCACTGGGTCAGTTCCTCCTGGCACCCAGTGGAGGCTTCAGCGGCCGGTCTACGGTCTCCGCCAGGCGCCACGTGAGTGGCACGACACACTGAGGACGACACTTGCGGCTCTTGGGTTCGCTCCCTCTACTGCTGACCCGTCGCTGTTTCTACGCACCGACACCTCGCTGCCGCCGTTCTACATCCTCGTGTACGTCGACGACTTGGTCTTTGCCACTGCTGACACCGCGGCACTCGCTCACGTGAAGTCGGAGCTGCAGAGGAGACACACGTGCACAGACCTGGGTGAGCTGACGAGCTATCTTGGCTTGCGGATCACCCGGGACAGAGCACGGCGCACCATCACCCTGACTCAGTCACACATGGTGCAGCAGGTTCTCCAGCGCTTCCGCTTCACGTACTCCTCGCCTCAGTCCACTCCTCTGCCTACCGGTCACTCGCTCTCAGCTCTGCCTTCGGATGAGTCCGTAGAGCCGAGTGGCCCGTATCCAGAGCTTGTGGGCTGCCTCATGTACCTGATGACCTGCACTCGACCTGACCTTGCATACCCTCTTAGCATCCTAGCACGCTATGTCGCTCCTGGCCGTCACCGGAAGGAGCACATGGATGCTGCTAAGAGGGTGTTGCGCTACTTGTGCAGTACGTCGGGCATGGGGCTTGTGCTTGGAGGGCGAGACCGGGTTGTTCTCACAGGGCACTCAGACGCTTCTTGGGCAGACGACCAGGCTACTCAGCGGTCGTCCCAGGGTTACACCTTCAGCCTTGGCTCTGGCTCAGTTTCTTGGCGTTCTACTCGCTCTTCTTCTGTTCTCAGCTCCAGTTGTGAGGCTGAGATCTACGCCACAGCCATGGCTGCTCAGGAGCTACGCTGGCTGACCTACCTGCTGACCGACCTCGGAGAGCGGCCTCGTTCTCCTCCAGTGCTGTACGTCGACAACAAGGCTGCCATTGCCTTGTGTGAGGAGCACAGACTGGAGCACAGAACGAAGCACATCGCTCTGCGGTACTTCCTTGCTCGAGAGCTGCAGCAGCGTGGTCAGCTTTGTCTGCGTTACGTGGCCACGGAGGCCAACACTGCTGATGTGTTCACCAAGGCGCTTCAGCCTTGTGACCATCAGCGCTTTTGCACGCTGCTAGGCCTTGTACCTACTGGGCCTCACTTGCTTACCTCTTGACCTTGCTTGTACTGTGATCACTATATATATATGCCTACTTGTTTACTTTTGCTAGGTTGTGATCACTGTATCTCTTGCTTTGTTATAAACCTGCATGTGAACTGGTCTTGTGACCGCTTGCTTGTGCTCGGAATTTGTGTGGAATCCTTGAGATCCACCCTGAGCTTGCTTTGCTTTGCTTTGACTGGTCTTGTGACCCTGTGGTTGTCTCCCACTGCGCCTATGGGGGTGTGTCAAACATTGCATGTTTATATTATGTAGGCTGTAGTGGGTTACACCTTAGGGGGTACTCAAAGTTAGGGTTTCCTACTTGTACCAAACTCTGTGCTAGTTCATCCCATTCCTGCTCAGTTATTCTGACAAGTACGTATGTTTTTCAGTGTCGTACAATGTGTGTTACCATCTTCGTTATCTTTTGTCGCTTGTCTCGTCTTGGTGAAGTGATGTTAAAGTGTGTCAGGTCTGCAATTGAGCTGGGGATCGTTGTTGGGGCAGCGTTGCTTGCCTTAGCATACCGGAACCATCTATGTTGTAGCATCGATCCATTTTTGTATTCACTCATAGTAGTGCGTTGTTGTGTTCACTCACAGTTGTTGTGCATTGTTTTTGCACATGTTCAATAAATGCACATGACTCGTATTCATGTTCAGTGGATGTTCTTTCGTCGTTGTGTTGGTGTCACAACGTGATGACCAATTTGTTCCATTCGCCGTATTTATCGACGATTATGGAATGAAAGGTCACATTTGGTTTCACCTTTGGGGAGACACTTATGTTATCAGTGCTTCCGTCATCTCCACAATTTATGAGCACTCGTTCTCAATGTGTTAAAACGAGAGCTCCAAATGCTGGGAAAATGACGAAAACTGCACTGTTCACTTGAGTCGACCGAAAAGTGCTACCAAATGTATAGGGTTGCTACGCAACCCAAAAAAACAAAGCTCTGGGTGGATCACAACGTCACCACACAGTCTGAGCACAAACAAGAGGCCACACGGCCAGATCAATAAAGTACAAGCTAATATATATTTTACAAACAAACAAAAAGCAAGAACTCACTACTGCAGTCTACTAGACCCAGTCTCAAGGAGGCCTAATTGCAGACAAAACCAGCAGTGGTCACAAGGCTGAAGGGCCTTGGTGAAGATGTCTGCAGTGTTGGCCTCGGAGGCCACGAAGTTCAGACGTGCCTGACCGCATCTCTGCAACTCTCGAAGGAGGAAGTACCTGACGTCGATGTGCTTCACTCTGCTCTCCAGTCGAGGCTCACGACACAGGAGAATCATCGCCTTGTTGTCAGCAAACAAGGTCGGTGCAGAACTCAGCCGCTCACCAAGGTCAGTGAGCAAGAAGGTCAACCAGCGTAGCTCCTGTGCAGCAAGGGCTCCAGCGTAGATCTCGGCCTCTGCGGTAGAAGTCGCAACAGAGGAGGACCGAGTAGACCTCCACGAAACAGCTCCAGAGCCCAGGCTGAAACAGTAACCCTGCGTAGACCTCTGAGTCTCAACGTCGTCGGCGTACGAGGAGTCGCAGTGACCGGTGAGTACAACTGGCTGTGTCCCTCCAAGTACAAGCCCCATGTCTGATGTCGCGCCGAGGTACTTCGCCACCCTCTTAGCCGCCGTCCAGTGAACAGGACGGTGCCTTCCAGTCGCAACAAAGCGAGAAAGGATGCTAAGAGGGAAGGCGAGGTCCGGGCGAGTGCAAGTCATCAGGTACATGAGGCAGCCCACCAGCTCTGCGTAGGGACCACTGGGCTCAAACAACTCGTCAGGAAAAGGCGCAGTGAGTCTGTGCTCTTCAGCAAGAGGGGTGGGAGAAGAGTGCTGAAGCCCGAACCGCTGAAGGACCTGCTGCACCATGTGTGACTGAGTCAGAGTGATGGTGCGAGTGGTTCTGTCCCTGGAGATCTGCAGGCCAAGGTAGCGGCGCAGTTCCCCAAGGTCAGTGCAGGTGTGTCTCTTCTGCAGTTCGGACTTCACCTCCGCCAGTGCAACTGTGTCGGTTGTGGCAAAAACCAAGTCATCAGTGTAGACCAGAATGAAGAAAGGTGTGCGCCCACGGTGAACAAACAGCGACAGGTCGGTGGAAGACGGCTCAAACCCGAGGTCGGACAGAGTAGAGCGGAGAGTGTCGTGCCACTCACGGGGTGCCTGGCGGAGACCGTAGACCGGTCGTCTGAGGCTCCACTGGGTCCCAGGCGGGAAGGTGCTTGGAAAGTGAAGCCCGGAGGACGACGCAGCCAGATCTCTTTATGTAGGCTGCTCTGGAGGAAGGCAGTGGAGAAGCTAAGAGAGTTTACCTCGTAGTCTCTCTGCGCTGCTACGTGCAGTAACACCCGAAGAGTGGTCATCTTCGGGGTGGGCGCGAAGGTCTGAAAGAAGTCAACTCCCTCACGCTGACTGAACCCTCTAGCCACGTAGCGTGCCTTGAAGACTGGGGGAGATCCCGGCGGCCGCTTCACCTTGAAGATCCACATGTCGTGAACTATGTTTGCCCCTATAGGGGGAACCTCGTCAACGTAAGTGCCTGTGGACCTGTAGGAGGCCATCTCTGCGTCCATGGCAGCTCTCCACTGAGAGGCCCAAGGCCCTGACACTGCCTCAGCGTAAGTGCGAGGAGTAGGTATGTCAGGAGCGTCGGGGTCTCCCTCAGGAGCGAGGAGCATGGCACAGAGATGAGGCGAAGCAGCTGCCAGGAACTCTAGCTCAAACTGTCTGTCCTCTAGGACGTCACAGCCAAAGGCAGACTCACCCCCGGCGGACAGAGGACGGACAGGAGGAGCGGCCACAACACGAGTGGCGTACTCAAGGTGACGCGTACCAGTAAAGTCGGTGAGGACCGCGACGGAGGAAGGAGAGGCACGAGGGTCTGTAACAAGAGAGGCAAGAACACGAGAGAGAGAGAGAGTGGGGCGGTATGTGCGGTAGTTGTCAGTGATCGGAATGGACAGGGAGGCAGTGAGGGACGACTCAGGAGGACGAGGAAGAACAGACGGAGGAGGACGAGGAGGACTAGGACGAAACAACACGGTACGGAGGTCAGTGACAGGTGACGAAGGACGAGCACGAGGAGGATGAGAGGTCCAAGAGTGAGCGAGAGGAGAGGGAGACGGAGGAGACTGAGAACGAGGGAACACAGCCGGAGCTGAGTCCGGAGGAGGAAACGTAGGACCGAACACAGGAGGAGAGGAGGGGAGACCAAGGGCCCGAAGGCCAGAAACAGGGGCCGGAGGCTGCTCCGGCTGCTGCGGCTGCTGCTGCTGCTACTGCTGCTGCTGCTGCTGCTGCTGGTGGTGGTGGTGCTGCTGCTGCTGCTGCTGCAGCGGCTGCTGCTGCTGCTACTGCTTCTCCCGCTGCGACTTCAACCACTCACGCTCCACCCGCTGCTGAACCTCCGACCTCTCACGCTCCAAACGCTGCTGCTCCTCACGCTCTAGACGAAGAAGGGCTTGGTAATGAGTCGGGTAGGGGTGAGGAGGAGGAGTGGTGGCAGGAGACGCAGCAGAAGAACTGACTCCATCCTCGATAGTACCCGGTTGAGCCCCCCCAGAGCGAGTACCTCCCGCGGCAGCACGACCAGCACCTGTAGGAGGTGTACCCGCACCCCCAGTCGTGGTGCCTCCAGTGGCACCAGCACCAGCCCCAGACTCTCCAGCTCCAGAAACACCACCAGCTCCAGCACCACCACCAGCTCCAGGACCCTCGGAACGGGCAGCTGTGGCAGGTGCACGCTTAGCGCCAACGCCAACACCCCCGGAATGGGCAGCTTCTGTAGGTGCACGAACAGCTCCAACGCCAGCACCCCCAGAGCGAGCACCGCCAGAGCTCTTACCTCGAGCACCAACACCCTCAGAGTGTGCAGTGGCCGGTAAAGGAAGCGCTGGCGGCTGCTGCGGAGGCTGTGAGGACGACTGTGGGGAAGGAGGAGAGACCTGGGGGGGGAACCGAGGGGGGGGGGGAGTAGCGTGGGACACACCAGACGGAGCGGGAACAGGGGGGGGTACCGGAGGAGCAGGGGCGGGAGGAGGAGGAGCTGGAGCCAGGAAGAGGGGAGGGGGGGGAACCGGGAGACCTCGACAGGGGTACCGGACGTAGTAGGGGACGGACCCATCGAAACAGACGTCACGAGAGTCAAAGAACCAGTGGGAGGGACGGTGCTAAAAGGTGAAGTCAGAGGAGTCATCTGGAAAACCAAGGAAGACACAGGGGACGGCGCGAGGTGAGATCTTGTCCGCAGAGGTGTCGCGGACAAGCGCCAAGCAGCCCCAGACACGAAACCTCGACGCAACACCAGGGGACCCTGTCCAAAGACTGGTCGGTGAAGCCGCTGACCGAGAGACGCGAGCCCAGAGATTCAGCTGGTGAGCGGCGTACCGAGCCGCGTAGGGCCACAGAAAATGGGGCGCGTAGGAATGGATCATGGAGGTGCGGGCAATCTCCATGACCAGGCCTAAGCGGCGCTCAGCAACCCCATTCTGCTGTGGAGAGTCTGGAAGAGTCCAGGACTGGGTGATGCCCTGCTCAGCACAGAATCTGGCGAGAATGCCGGAGCGAAACTCACCCCCACGGTCGGAGTGGAGACAACTGACACGACGACCTCGAGTACCCTCGGTGGCGAGCAGCCACCGGATCAGCGTAGAAGTCACGTCGGACTTCTTCGCCAAAGGGAACACGGTGGTGTACCGAGAGTAATCGTCAACGACCACCAGAAAGAAACTCTCCCGCTCAGGGCCAAGGCGGGGAGCGGGGCCCCAGACGTCTAAGTGTAGTGTCGGGAAGGGCTCGGTGGCCGGACGAAGGGAGGAGGAGTGAGGGGTGGCGCACAGCCGACCCTGGACACAAGGACCGCACGGAGGAGCTGGGGACGGCGGGAGTGGCGGGAGGACTCGGGGGAGGCCTAAGACAAGACGCTGACTGGACATAGCGCGGAGACGAGGGAGGGACGGGTGACCAAGGCGGTGGTGCCAGAGGAGGGAGGGGTGGGCAAGCGACCGACACGAGCACGACGCAGCAACTAGACCGGACACAGCAACTTGACTGGACCTAGCTACTTGGTGGGACGGAGGAACCTGACGGGGGTCGGTGTGGAGGGTGTACAGACCGGAGCCCGGCTCCTGGCGAAAAGTGGCCAAGGGGGCGTACGTGTCACCGTCCACACAGACCGCGGTGTCACCAGAAGGCTCAACCCAGACCCCGACGTGCTGTCTCGCCAGGGGGCCCACACCAACCAGGTTCCTAGAGAACGTAGGAACGTGGAGGCCAGTCAGGGAACCGGAAGGAGCAGCTGGGCACGGGAGTGTAGTGGCGTGAGTCGCAATGACCGGTCCCGAAGAGGGATCGGCCAGTGCTGTAGGGACAGGCTCCGGTAGTGGAGAGAGAGTCGTGCGGTCGCGGAAGAAGCAGTGCGACGCTCCTGAGTCCAGTGTGAAGGAGAGAGACGCGTCCGCCGAGGGAGTACCTGTACTAGTAGCTAAACAAGATCCTACACTAGCACCTACTCTAGCAACAGGCAAAGATCCTAAGCTAGGTACAGGCAAGTACACAGATTCAGGAGCACTATAGTCAACATTAGCATACATGGCATAAGACCTAGCATCATCCATAGTCGTCAAAAACAGCAATACCACGAGCAAGAAGTGTCCCCCAGCGTGGCGGCGGGGGAGCGGAGGGGCCGTGGTGCAAGAGGTAGAGGTCGTCGAGACGACTGAACCAACATGCAGCAGAGTGGTCAGGGCGGCCACAGTACGAGTCCCTACGTGGACCCGTAAGGATCCAGTACTCACAGGGACCAACGTCGCGGCCGGCCGAGCGAGGTCCCCGACTGGAGGGGGCGCCACTGCGCCCAGTGCTCGGGGGACCCGCAGACCTCCACTGCTGCTGAGGGCCCCACTGCTGCGGAGGGCCCCACTGCTGAGGCTGCTGCTGTGGCGGGCGCTGCTGCTGGCCCTGTCGCTGCTGCTGCTGTCCCTGCCGCTGCTGCTGTCCAGGTGGTGGCAGCAGCTGCTGCTGCTGGAACCCCTCACCACCAGTGAAAACTCCACCGTCGAAAGGAGGGCCGTCAGGTCCCGAGCCACCCCCACCACCACTCCCACCACCTGCTCCACTGCCACTGCCACTACCCGCACCACCTCCAGTACCCCCCCCGCCCTTCCCGCCACACTTACCTGCTGGCCTTGCCACGTTTCTGTCCGCCAGAGATAGGAACAGCCGCCGTTTTCTCAGAGGCAGAAGACGTGGGCGTGGCCAGTGAGGCAGTGAAGGTGGGAAGCTGTGGTACCATGAGGAGGCAGAGGCAACAGTGAGGAGGTTACTCTCGATCTTCTATAGAGCAGTCTCAAGAAGATCGATGGTAAGCTCAGTGGGGTGCTTCAGAAGAAGCGCGTCGCGGGCTGTGGCTAGGCGGTCAGGGAGGCGAGTGACTAGCCAGTGAATAGTGAGCCACATAGGGGGCGGGGCAAGGGCAAGCTGGTCCTCAGTGCAAGCAGCGCGAAAGCGAGCGTCAAGGGAGCGCAGGTGGGTAGCGAGGTCAGAGACAGTCTCAAAGGAAGCGAGGTCAGGGTAGACAAAGGGTACGAGGAGGCAACTGAGCGAAGCAGCGGAGAGAGTGGAGTAGCGAGCAACAATAGCCTTATACAGATCTGCAGCAGACTCGACCTGAGTGAAGTGGACTGCCTCTGTCGGCGGGAGAAGGTCGGTCAGGGCGAGGCAGGCAGCGGCGTCACGAGACTCCCACACGTCGCGAGCGAGGAGCTGGCGCTGGTAGTCGGCCTCCTGCTCAGGAGTAGGCGGTGGGGTAGTGGGCAGCGGCTGAGGCTACGTAGGGGCGGTCTGAGTGCCGGACGCGTGTGCGAACAGGTGCACGCCATCCTGCCGCTGGCTCTTAAGGTGACCATCGCGCCTGCGTAAGCCACGTACTAAAATCATTAGGTCTCCCTTCAGGGTCAAATCGAAGTACTTGGGAGGTCGCCATAGGAGGCAAAACTGAGGGGGAGACAGTCAGTAGCGTGTGGGCAAGCGCGCAGGCGTGCAGGCGGGTAGGTGGCACGGCATGGGGACAGGCGGGCGGCGCAGCGCGCTGGCGGGCGGGCGGCGCGGCGCGCTGGCTGGCGGGCGGCGCGGTGCGCTGGCTGGCGGGCGGCGCGACGGGTCGAAGGGCGGGCGAGGCGGCGGGTCGACCGGCAGGCGACGCGACGCGCGGGGCTGCAGGGCGACGCGTCGAGCAGCGCGTGCAGGGCTGCCGGGCTGTGGGGCGACGCGACGGGCGGCGCTGCGGGTCGACGGGCGGGCGGCGCGACGCGCTGGCCTGCGGGCGGCGCGAAGCGCTGGCCTGCGGGCGGCGCGGCGGGTCGACTGGTGGGCAGCGTGGCGCGCTGGCCGGCGAGCGGCACGGCAGGTTGACGGGCGGGTGGCGCGATGCGCTGGCGGGCGGGCCGCGCGGCGGGCAGGGCGGTGCGCTGGCTGGCTGGCCGTCCGTGGCGCGCTGGAGTAGCGGGCTGGCGCGTGCGCTGGCGTGCGTGCTGGCGTGGTGCGCTGGCGTGCACGCGGGCTAGGGCGTTTAGGGCAGACCTAAGTCTAGGTCTAAGAACGGCGGTCTAGGTCTAAGAACGGAGAAGACTAGGTGAGGCCTAGGAAGCGCGAACCTACTGCTGATACCATCTCACGAACTGAAAAACAGCGGAATGAGTAGGATTGATTGGGTTGGGGTACAAATACCTAACCCTAACTGTTTGTACCCCATATAGCATAACTCACTAAAGGTAATAACATTTGACAGTACAAGAGATTAAATAGCAAACTAGCTAGCCATGTACTCTGAGGGGTACATTCCCTTATTTACTATATTACATAGCTACAGTAACCACGACTATTGCCATGCTCGACAGTTACCATGTTGCAGCGAACAACTGTCGCGCGGTTACTGGGTGGTCAAGGGTCACGACCGTTGACTGCCCTCAACGGTTGACCTTCGGGTCACCCTCGAGCTTCCGCATGCTCTATATGAGCAATTGCGGTACTCGTACAATAAAATGCCTTCAGGAATGTTTATAATAACCTTTTGGTTATTCCAACACTCCCCTTCATTCCTGAAGGTGGGCCACGTGGGATTTCTTGGTGATCCCGCAGAGGTTGGCGCAACGCTGGTACTGCTGACGTGGCAATTTCTTCGTCAGGAAATCAGCTGCCATGTGTCCGGTTGGGCAGTACGTGAGTTTGAATCTCCCCTTGTCGATTTCGCCCTTCACGAAGAAGTAACGAAGTGTGATGTGCTTCGTACGGTTAACAAAGCCAGGCTTGTTCGCTATCTTGATCGAGCTATGATTGTCGCAGAGTAACGTGAAGTGCCCATTCATCGTCACTTTCCCTTCTTGCAGAAGCTCCATTAGATACAGTCCTTCACAAACGGCTGCGCTGGCGGCGATGAATTCAGCTTCAGCTGACAAAAGGGCGATGAGTTCCTACTTCTGAGAGTTCCAGGAGATGAGTCCAGCAGGTTGGAGTTGGAAAACGAATCCTGCGTGGGAGCGTCTGTTGTCAACATCCCCTGCGTGGTCAGCATCTACGTAGCCATGAAGCTGCAGAGTGGCGGTGAGGTTAGCTTCGTAGGTGAGGCCGACGTCAGGTGTTGAGATGAAGTACTGCAGTGCTCGTCGAAGATCCAGTAGATTCTCCCCTTCAGTTCGCTTTAGGTGCTGTGCGAGCCGGCTTGTGACGTAGGAGAGATCGGGCCGGCACGTGACGGCGGCAAACAGGAGGCAGCCCAGCTGCTGTTGGTAGAGCCGATGTTCTTCGGTGGAGAGAGGTGTGGTGTCCGGTTCATGGTTAGGATGAGGAGTGCGGTAGGGAGTGGAGAGGTTGATTGGTGTGATCGCAAGTGTTTCGGCGTATTTGGCGGTGGAGAGGTGAATGGAAGAGGCGGTCTGGGTCACATTGAGTCCCAAGAAATGTGTGACGTTGTGGTTAACCGTCACCTTGAGCTTCTCCTTGATGTCAGCTTCGAACTGGTCGAGAAACCGCGTGTCATCGCCGGTGTCAAGGAGGTCGTCGACGTAGACGACGAAGACAATAAATTTGCCGCGCGATTCCCGTCTGTACATCCCGAGGTCATGCGGTAGCTGGGTGAAACCAAGCTGAATGAGAACGGAGTGGAGGTACTGCTGCCACATACGAGGTGCCTGCTTAATCCGGTAAAGGGATTTCTGAAGGAGACACACGGCGCCATCGTTCTATTCGAAGGCATGCGGCTGCTCGACAAAGATGATAGCGTCAACGGGAGTGTATAGGAAGGCGCTGCCGACGTCGATCTGGCGGAGCGGTCGCTGTTTGACGGCTGCGATGCAGATGAGAATGCGCACCGAGGTGTGGCGTCAGACTGGTGCGTAGGTGAGAGTGAAGTCCACCAGGTGGGTTTGCTCGAACCCGCGCACCACCCACCGTGCCTTAT